TGGCATTTTAGCATTAATTTCTCAATAGATTCTTGTAGTTTCTTATCAGTAATTAATTATTATGTTTAATTCTTCTTCCAATTCTTCTGTTTCTTCTTTAATTATGTCTATCTAAACCAATTAGCTAGGGTTATGGCACAACCCTAGTGTGGGTAATTAATGGGTGTTGCCATCTAAGGTTATGATGATATTGGGTGTTTGCTATTTGGGTTAATTTTAGGTTTTAATTAAGGATTGGTGGTTGCAAACACTGATTCTAGCTTGGTGGGTTTAACTCTTTTTGAGAAAGAGAGTCTATGACCCCAAAGTTGACCCAACAAGGAATTGGGATGGACCCATGAGAAATGGTAGTCCCAATTAACGGGTTAAACCTCGAGAGAGTAATTACCCTACTTGAACCCTAGTTGCTTGGTCTAATTGCCTACCCAATTGGTCTCGAGAGAGTCAATTGGGCAAAATCACTCTCTCTACCGAGAGGTGTGAGAGTGGGTACAATTGAGCAACGGTTATAGCATAAGCCCCAAATATATCAACTTATCCTTAGTATCATCTACTCGTTAGTTAGCCACCTAGGCAATGCCATGACCCTAGTGCCTTTCTCTATATTAATTACAACTTCGCAATATCTCCGTAGCATAATTTAGCTTCAAACATTAGTCTTATAATAGTAGATATAAAAAAATCAAAACCAAAGATGTTAGAAGTGATATTGGAAGCACAACTGCAATTCTAGACTAAACAGACAATACAACTCCATTACTAGCTCCCTGTGGAAATTCAATCCCGAACCACTATTCGGGTAAAAGCTGTTGCAACCCGCTCTTCCTACCTTAGTGTAGTGTTGAGTCGGCAGCGATCAACTTTTTGGCGCCGTTGCCGGGGAGCATATAGTGTTAACTATCTGTTTAGCTCGTTTTGTGTTTTGCTTCTCTTTCCTTCTATTTTACTAATTTTGTTTGTGTCGATCATTCAGGTACTATGGCTCTTAATGCAAACGACCCTCTTGGCAACGTGAATGCGGGGGAGGAGGTAGATGATCTTGAGCTCGAAGAGGTTCAACCACCTCAAGTTCCACGTAGAGGCCGTCAGGCCAACGCAAATGACAATAATCCTATTCCAGACCCTCCTCCGCCACCGCCAAGAGCAGTCCCAAGAGTTTTACCAAATCAAGGGTACGCGAGTGCCATTGTTCCTCCCCGAATTCGGGCGGGGAACATTCAAATCACAAATGTCATGTTGACCTTGCTCGAGCAAAGAGGGTATTTTATGGGCGCCTTTGATCAAAATGCATACAAGCACTTGTAGGGATTCGTAGATACATGCTGGGGCAGCAAACAAACAAACGTGTTAGAGGATGCGTTGCGATTGAGGCTTTTTCCGTTTTCTCTTAGGGTTAAAGCGTTGGACTAGTTAGAAAGGCTTCCAAATCATTCTATTCACACATGGGATGAATTGGCGGAAAAATTTATTGCCAAGTTCTTTTCTCCAAGTCATATGGCGGCTCTTCGGGATGAGATTCTAGCTTTCAAACAAATGCCAACGGAACCTTTGCACAAAATTTGGGAAAGATATAGAACAATGGTGAAGGAGTGTCCTAATAACGACATGACCGAGGCGATGATAAGGAGTGTCCTAATAACGACATGACCGAGGCGATGATACAACAAACCTTTTATCGGGGCATCAACACCACGAACAAGTGCATTGTGAATCAATTGGCCGGAGGGAACTTTATGAAACTTTCTTATCAAGAGGCATGTGATGTACTTGATTAAATGGCCGACACTTCTTCAGCATGGCAAAGCCGTATGTGCCCCGAGGTGACCCCACGGTCATCCACTTGCACAAGGAGTTGAACGATCATGGCCAAGCTATTGCCGAACTTACAACAACCATGAATCAATTGGCAAAGGCACAATTTCAACAAGTCCAAAACCCGCGCCAAGTCAATGCAATGGAGAGTGTCTCTATGTTGAAAAGGAGGCAAAGAGGGTAACAACAACCTCAAGGTAATGGTGAGCAATTTGACAACAACAATGATGGTGGTGGTTATTCGAATGAGTGCTATGATGATCAAAGTGAGGAGTGACAATATGTCAATAACTACCAAGAAAATAGAGGAAATCAAGGAAATCAACAATGGCGTCCCCAAAGCAATTGGGGAAATCAACAAGGTGGCGGTAATTGGAATAACAATAACCAACAACAAGGCGGTAACAATTGGAACAACAACAATCAGAACAACAAATGGGGTAATCGAGGTAACAATCAAGTCAATTGGAACGGGAACAACAATAATTGGAGCAACAACAATAACAATCAAGGAGGGTGGAATAATGGTGGTAGGGGGCAAGGCTTTCAAAGGCCCCCCATGTTCCAACAACCAAACAATCCACCCGCCTTTCAATCTCAAGGGTCTAGTTCTTCCGGAAGTGATATGGGACGGATAGAAATGATGTTCGAGTAGATGATGAAAAAGAACCAAGACTCGGATGCACAATTGGCTTCACACAACACATCTATCCGGAACCTAGAAGTGCAAATAGGGCAAATTTCTCAAGCGTTGAATACCCGACCTAAGGGAGCACTACCAAGTGATACGGTAGTGAACCCAAAGGGAGGTAATAATCATGTGATGGCAGTCACAACGAGAAGCGGAAGAGGCGGTGATGTGCAAGCCTCAAATGAAAATCGAGTGGTGAATGATGATGTTGAGCTCCAAGAAGCTATGGATCCTTTGATTGTTGAAGATGTAGTTGAGACAAATGTGAATAAGGAAGTGAGAATAGATATTGATGAGGCCGAGGTGGAAACTCAAGAGGCCGTGAACCCGTCTAGGGAGCACATAATTGATATTCCGGAGCCGGTGGTTCCAAAATCCAAGGCACCATTGCCTAGACCACCTCCACCTTATCCTCAACGCTTAGCAAAGCAAAAGCATGACAATCAGTTCAAGAAATTCATAGAGATGATGAAAAGCCTTACAATCAACGTGCCTTTGGTGGAGGCACTTGAACAAATGCCGGGCTATGCAAAGTTCATGAAGGATTTGGTCACAAAGAAGCGTTCCATGGATTGTGAAACAATAAAGATGACGCACCAAGTTAGTGCGATCGTGCATTCTATGGCCCCGAAACTTGAAGACCCAGGAGCTTTTACTATTCCTTGCACTATCGGGAGTGCGGAGTTTGCTAAGGCCCTTTGTGATTTGGGGGCTAGCATTAATTTGATGCCGTATTCGGTCTTCAACACTTTGGGAATTGGGCAACCTAGGCCAACCTCGATGAGACTTCAAATGGCGGACCGGTCGATGAAGCGGCCTTTGGGTATAATTGACGATGTGCTTGTCCGGGTGGACAAATTCATATTGCCGGCCGACTTTGTCATATTGGATTGTGAAGTAGATTTTGAAGTGCCTATTATTCTTGGGAGACCTTTCCTAGCTACGGGGAAGGCCTTGATTGATGTTGAAGCAGGTGAATTGACATTCATGAGTGGGTGATGAGAAGGTGGTATTTCATGTTTGCAAATCAATGAGGCAACCCAATAGCACGAAAGTGTGTTCACTTGTAGACATTGTCACATCTGTGATAGTGGATGACACAAGTTCCATGATGAATGTTGAAGATCCTCTTGTGGTCGTACTTCTTGGCATGGATGCAGAAGATGATGCTAGCAGAGTGGAGTGCGTGAATGCATTGCATGGTATGGGTTCATATTCATATGAGCCTAGGAAGTTATCTTTGGATCTTGAGAACCGCAAAACTCCACCAACTAAACCATCCGTTGAGGAGCCACCGGTATTGGAGTTGAAGCCACTTCCTCCCACTACTGAAAAATTGGTGTATGGTAACATATGGAAAACGGTTCC